TTATAGAAATCCAAGGAAATTAAAGTCAGGAAAAGTTCGAGAGAAGCTTTTCACTTCTATTTCTATGCTTTGTGAGACGAAAGTCAAAAGTGACATGATTTTCGGTTTGATTGTCGCAAAACCTTCACTGTTTCCGGACCAATGATGTCTGAGATATTGAGCTTTGGCTTGTTTGAAATGCAGTTTTTGTCGTTCTATCTATTCAAGAATAACTCGACTGCGAGTACCTCATCAGCTAAAAATTTTGGCAATACCGAATTGAGACAACGCCTACGTCCAGCTCCATTTCCTTTTCAGTTTACTCGCCCCATTGGAGAGCTGAGCTTTTCCACGCTCACGTGCCTTAGCCATGGATGTCTTCTGACGATTACTTGCAAAGAAGTGCACCTGATCCCTAACACGGGAGAGAAACGACTGTTGAATGTGCTAGAGTCCATCGCTGCTCAGCGCCTACTTACTCAATATTGTTCTTGCTAACAACAGAAGCTCCTCCTCTAGGTCCAGTCCAATCGACCCTAGCACCCAGATGATTTATTCACCCAGATTATTTATATTAATCTTCGCAACGGTGGTTGTTGCAGGTTCCTGGAGATCCTTTTTCGCTTTGCAACGTAACACCACCAGACACGTTGACGAAGCAAGCGAGTCGTTATTTCATGAAGAGCTAAGGCTTAAACAATCCAAACTAGATAAATTTGAGTGGTAAAATTAAAGAATGAACATCGTATTAATAGAACCAAACACGCAAAAGCTACACTCAAGGCTCCATCCGTTTAACACCTTGGAGCCCATGCAGCCCATATGTGGGCTGCAGTCCGTCGACCGCGTAGGACCTTTCAGCTCACATTTCGGAAACAAATGCCAAGTTTTTCTTTTGCTTTCTTTTCCGTTGCATTCGATAAGGATTCTTCTGCATCACCCAGTAGAATTTTCTTCTCATTTGCTTGATAACATTCCCTAAAGGTTCACTGAAGTCTCACGTCGCCGAAAAACGTGAAGCATGCGCGTTCTCCAAAGTGTTAACTTTTCGAATTGTATGGGGAAGCTCTTGTTACCGTAACTTCTGGCCACCCTGTATTAATTGCTCGATAATGGTATCCGAACTCACTTGAACCAGTTGGCCGCCTGTCTCATCTTTTCGCCGGCCGTATCCGAGACGCCATGCACGAAAACAATAGGCTGGTTCTTTAGTCTCTGCGATCGTTCAGCTTTTCCACCAAATGATCGTCCGACATCATACTTTATCGTATGACACCGTCTTATCATATCTTATCTGCATTGTCACACCTCTATCTTATCTTATGCCACCTTTTTTTATCGTACCTATCTTTTCATATCTTATCGCTTTTATTCTGATCTTATTTTACCTTACCTTACCTTACCTTACCTTGTTTCATCTTATCTTATTTATCTTACCTTATTTTATCTTATAATAATCTTATCTTATATTTATCTTATCTTATCTTATCTTATCTTATCTACCTTATCTTACCTCGACTCCATTAACGTCTCCATGATGTCAGCATGTGCTCATCTTCCACACTATTCCTACAGCGTAGACTAGCGTATTTGAGTTGGGAACTCTAGGTGGCCACTTTCCAAACGCAGTAATCTCTGCGCAGTTCGGTTGGTAGTAACTTGGTAAAATTCCCTCGTGTGCCGGATTTATAGAAATCCAAGGAATTATTAAAGTCAGGAAAAGTTCGAGAGAAGCTTTTCACTTCTATTCTATGCTTTGTGAGACGAAAGCCAAAAGTGACATGATTTTCGGTTTGATTGTCGCAAAACCTTCACTGTTTCCGGACCAATGATGTCTGAGATATTAAGTTTTAGCTTGTTTGAAATGCAGTTTTTGTCGTTTTATCTATTCAAGAATAACACGACTGCGAGTTCCTCATCAGCTAAAAATTTTGGCAATACCGAATTGAGACAACTTCTACGTCTTGCTCCATTGCCTTTT